ATTCTGAATGTTTGTGACTATTTTTTTTTTTTTTTTTAAATGTCCTGTCATGAAGAATCCTGTCTAAGTGCGAAGAGAAGCAACGGATTATTTATTCTGCCCTGTTTGTAGTCTTTTATGTGTAGATCAGACTTCTTCAGTTTTTTACTGTTGCATAAATTTAATATAGTTTGTTCATCTGGTATCTAACATTAAACTACCTGATCACTCTTTTGCTTTTCTTCATAATGCCACATTTCTACTGCACTTTTTAGTAAAATAATCTGGTAATTTCTGACCTGCTTACGTTAATAATGCCTTATTCTTTCTGAGAAGATCCTTTCTTGTGGAAGGAAAGTTCTCGCTACAAATGGCATAGCAGACATGCACCAGGTATAAAGTGACTTTGTGTTAATAAAGGCAAAGAAGAGGAAGAAAGAATCATGGGTTTGTAATGACTGAGAATTCTGTTATATGAATGAAGTCCTCAATGTACCTTGAAAAGTCCATACCAACAAGGACCCTGTAGTTGCAATAAATACTACAGAATATCAGAACTGAAGACCTCTTAGATAAGCCTTTCTTGAAGGATTTAAATAAATTTTGAGTGTCCTTTGTGTGATAGTTCATTTCTGACATAGCTTTCAACAATACAGTTTAATGTCTTTTCAGTGCAGCAACTGCAATACAAATTGGAAGTGTGTCACTACCTTGTGTAAAGGCAGATCAGTCCTCTCATTTTAGGAATGGATTTATTTTATGAGTGTATTAGCATCTAAAGGTTATTGAAAATAAAAGTAACAAATGTGATTTTTTTTTTTTGTTTGTAGATCTTCTGCTTCTTTTCCATTGTACTTAAAAAAAACCCAAACCAAAACAAAAAACCCAGAAAACCCCACAAAAGCAAAACCAAAACTCAACCAAATAAAAAAAAGCAAAAATTTCCAACATGCCCCCCTCACGCCCCCCAAAAAAAACCCAAACCTGAAAAAATGAGCCACCAATTCTTTAAAATTAGGTTAGAAATTGAATCTGACAAATCTCCAGGCATGTGATAGCGTTTAATGCCAATAAAGATTTCCTTCAATTAGAAGCTCAGATTCTTAGTAACTGCGGAAATGCTCTTTGTGTGCAGAAAATGAAAACATTTTTCTTTTCTTTGAAGTTGTTCTTGTCAATATGTAAATAATTTGTATATGAGTGTAAAACTTGGGGATGGGCAGGGAGAGGCAGCTTGATTCTCTTTGTACGGCATAGCACTTTGAAAGTGCTTTTTGGTGGAGGGTGGTGTGGGCTTGGAACAGTCATTCTTCTTGATACCAGGCTTGATGTAAGTTTCCTAACAAATGTTTCACATATTCAGGGTGTTTTAGCTTTGTTTTTCTAAGGCCTGTTACCATAGACCTGTATCTATGGTACAGTCTAAGTTGATTTCCTTAGTTTTTACAACATTTGTCCAATTTAACAAAGATTTGCTTCACCTAGACATAAATGAACAATAGTAGATATTGTCAGATAGCTAGATGTTGGATTTGAGGATTTATTCCATGACGTAAAATATCTTATGTTCCTTAAATGTCCTCGAGATGTTGATTTGAATTGCAAAAATATTTACTCATTTTGTTCTGTGTATGCAGTACAGAGTTTGATTCTAGTTCAAGAGTAGCCAGAATTAAAGTTGAATTTGATAGTGCTGTAATAAATATAATGGCTGATTTATGAGTTTCATTGCTTAGATACTTTTTTTTTTTTTTAATTTTGAGATTGACAGTAGTGCTTTATCTGGCTCAGGTTGTGTGAAATAGAAGATATTGAATGTAAGGATTGGGACAGTTGTCATGTAATGTGGCTGCTGTGGAAAAATATCTATTTAGTGCAGGGAAACATAACATAGTGTTGGTGGCAGAGTTCTTGTGTCCATTTAGATATTTACCTGTGGAGAATGTCCTGTTTCCATCCTTAAGTTGGTACTGAGAAATACATAGTGTCTTCAGAGGGAGGTGATTCTTCCCCTCTGCTCTTGTGAGACCCCAACTGAAGTACTGTGTCTGTTTCTGGGGCCCCCAAGAAGGACATGGACCTACTGGAACAAGTCCAGAGGAGGGACACCAGGATGATCCCAGGGCTGGAGCACCTCTCCTATGAGGACAGGCTGAGAGAGTTGGGGCTTTTCAACCTGGAAAAGAGAAGACTCCGGGGAGATCTTATTGCAGAACTTCCGGTACCTGAAGGGGACGTACAAGAAAGCTGGGGAGGGACTTTTCACAAGGGCAGGGAGTGACAGAACAAGGGGAAATGGTTTTAAGCTGGAAGAGGTTAGGTTTAGATTAGATACCAGGAAGAAATTCTTTCCTGTGAGGGTGGTGAGACACGGGCACAGGTTGCCCAGAGAAGCTATGGATGCCCCCTCCCTGGAAGTGTTGAAGGCCAGGCTGGAGGCTTTGAGCAACCTGATCTAGTGGAAGGTGTCCTTGGTCATGGCAGGGGGATTGGAACTAGATGATCATTAAAGTCCCTTCCAACCCAAACCATTCTATGATAGTTAAGTTACCATGGTGCACATACTGAAGATACTGAACAAAATGAAGACCTCTATTCCTTCCTGTAGGACTAGAATTTATTTGAACATTTCATCCATGTAAGTGGAGATTTGCCTGCTTTGTGTTTCGTAAGTTGATGAGCATGAGTTGGAAGAGGTAGAAAAGAACTGATCAGTTTCAGTGTGTTTTGGGTGGTTTCTTAGTATATAGCATTAAAAAAACTCAGGACATGGAGTAGGTAAGACATGAAAGGACTATGGTTTTTGGGCGATTGAAGGGTTTTGAGGGAAGGAGTGGGAGAAATGGATTTGTAGGTCAGGAAGCACAGAGCTGAGTGGGAGGGGACAAAGAGTTTGCCTTCCTGAACCAGCCTTATGATTAGTATGACTTTAATGTAATCATCTTTCTTACTTTGAGACTTTTCTTCAGTGGGCCTTCGCTCTAAGACGACTACTGCTTGAAGTTCAGTTGGTAAAGTAAGGAACATGCTGACGTTTCTCAGGTGATACTCAGCTCGGGGAAAGTTGGAAGCTGCTGCTGCCTAAAATAGCCATCCATATTAACAACTCCATATGCACATTAACTGTACTTTGTGTGGTATGCCTAAGCGGTCTTGAGGAATCAATAATGCTGTCCTTGTGCTCAAAATTGGAGGTACTTTTAAAATTACTCCTTCCATAGTCGATTAATCTGTCCTATAGACGGGTATGTTTGGAAAAGCTGGTGAATGTTGTGTGTTCCTACAGTTAACTGCAAAAATGGTTCTGTGATGGAGTGAGACAACTTCTTTCCTTCTGTTTCTTACTCTACAAACAGTGTATAAAGGCTATACATAAAATATGTACCTTGGGTAGATGTTTAATAAGTGCAGAGTATTATATTTTTATAGGTGTTAAATGGAGATAAACAAAGATGTAATCATGGGTGCTGTGGCATTTTCCCAGTTTCCACTGTTTCCAGAGCTGAGTTGAGCAAATACAACAAATCAGAAATAGAAGGGAGGAGTAGCACATGCTGGTACTGTAATTTAAACACATAGTCTATGAAGCATTACTGTGCAGTGTTTTTACATCTGTGTTATCTTTACCTGCTTTCCTTGCTTTGCAAAATTGACCATCAGGAAAGTGAAAAAATGTTGTCCAGTATTGAAGGTTTATGTATAGTCCAATATATATATAGGGCAGTCTTTACTATGTTCTGCCCTGGTTTATAAATAAATAAGCTAAAAAAGAACTAATAAAGTCTTGCTGCATGTGGCATGTTTCTCAGTGGAGCTGAATATTGGAAAACAACTACAGACAGTGTGTTTAATAGTGCCTGTATTAAATGAGCTGTATCGTGGAAACTAACGTGACACCATTTTAATTAGCGCTGCAGTAACAGGGGGTTTCCTCTACTCAAGGGAAAGCTGCCAGTCCTTGCCACATGCAGGCAAAGTGGAGCTTTGTTTACGGTTATATTTTTGTACAAATAACATTCCTGCCTGTTTTGTGGCCCCGCTACAGTATGTCTGTTACTCTTTGACCTGGAATTGTTTGTGTGCATGTTTTAGGGTAAAATGCACATATCTTAAAACAAAACTTTTTTGAAAGACACTTTGTGAAACCTTCTACCTTATGATGGAAAGTCGCTTCAATGATTAGAATGATACAGATAATGCTACATAAGTAATTATTTTGGTGACTACTGCGCCATTTTAGAATCTTCTGAACATCTGTCCATTCCCGCTTGTTTGAAATGATGAAGTACTTACAAAATTTAGTGTTTTGGGGGAAAATACAAACTTTTTGAACATCAAATAACATGTTAAAAACATTTACTAATTCAGTGGAGCACATTTTTATTAATGCAGTCAAAGGTTTCGTTAGTAAGTTTCTAAGCATAGCAATTAGTTGCTTAGGGCAGGAAGAAAATAATATTCTGTTTTGTTTTTCCAGTTTGACCTATGATGAAGTCTTAATTTATGACCAGAGCTCTTGGATGTTTGGTCATGCAAATACATAAACGAAGTTTGGGATTCATCTCTTTTAATGTCAGTATATTTGACCTACTTAACTCAGGTTCTCTTCTTGAAGGAGAAGATAGACCTGATTTACCTTCAATACATTCCTTAAATGGAACAAATTAATTGCATCCTAACAGTGCTTACTTAGGTTCCTTTCTCATTAGTGGAGAGCAAGGTGACAAAGTCAGATATCGGTGTCTGCAAAGATGCTAGCATTGAGGTGACCAAATCTGAATTATTTATCCCTTTAGAATGTTTAAAATAATACAGTAGCAACTATTTAACTGGAATATGCTTTAAAATAGGAGAAACTGATCTTCAGAGGTCCCTTCCAACCCCTCCCATTCTGTGATTCTGGTTTTGTGAACTGTGAATTGGGAACAGTTGCTGCACAATTGTTATTTAGTCCCCACAAAAAGATGGAAAATTTACAGCTTAATTGATAGTTCAGTACAAATACACATTGATCCAGCAAGATGCGTACAAAACGCAGTGCAGGCCATGGATACAAAGCAGAGGTGTGAGTTGGAGTACCTAGTTTTGAACTCAGATCACCTATAGGATTGGTTTGGCAGACTTAAATATTGTGGTTTTGCTGAAGTAAATGAAAACGGGTGTTCCACATAATTCAGAAAAAAGTAACTTCAGCGATTATCAATGTAAGGAAAGAACGGTACCAAGTTAATGATGCGTTGGGTTCTAATTGGTAACAGTACTGTTCAAATATGAGTTTCAATTGGTACCAGTTCTAAATGAATCAATAACAAACTTTGTTGTCAATGCTCAGTATATATTAGTAGATTGATTTTTGTCCACATGTACTTCTTGGTCCAATGTTGCTTAATGGCATCAAGATAATGTTGATGCTTCTTATGAATAGCCTGTGTTTGTTACTCAGTAGCAGAACATGGTAATCACATACTCCAAAGGTGAAGTAATCATTCATTACACTTTTGTATTTTCATTGAATTGGATGCTTTTGTGAATGACAGTGCTGACTGTACTTTCCAGTTTTTTCAAAACAGATCAATCTAAGCTCCCCAGGTTTTGTAGTTGGGTTCTGCAGGGGGCTGCTTGAGCAACTTCACAGCCCAGCTGTTCTCATCTTTTCACATGAAGTTGAAAGGCAGCTGCACATCACTGTCATATTACTCCTCTAGTGTGAATGCTTACTTAAATTACCACAGAGAGATTGTTTGATTGTCAGTGGTGGGAGGGAGTGGTCCATCAAATAATCTGAGGATGTGGTCTATGCACAGAAAGTTTGGGAACACTACTGATTGCTCACTAGCCACTTCATTACAGCTACCTAGGCACTGAATACGAACTCATCATGCCACGTTACTGGACTGTGCTTGAGATTCCAGGTATAACTGACTTAGTTTGAAAGAATCTGAAGTCACATTTAAAAATGACAAGTAACTAATCAACAAGAAGAGGAAGAGAATGTTTTGTTCAAGGGTACAACATCTAGTTGTGGTACAACAGTCTAGATTACAAAATTCATCATGAGCCTTATCGCACTGTTGCTCTCGCTGTGATCGCTACAGCTGTTTGTTGGGGAAGTGGTGGTGGCCAGAGTAAGGGTTTGAGAATCTGACATACCATGATTCTTGGAAAGAATCCAAACAGTTCTTGCTTGGTTTTGAATGTGGCTATTGTAGGCAGGCTTAACCTTTTGTTGTTAAACTTTCTGTGCTAGCAGGTCATTGTTTTGAATGCATGACTGTCCTAACTCTCTCTTTGTTTTGTCTTAGTCACATTGATCAAACAACAACATGGCAAGATCCTAGGAAGGCCATGCTTTCCCAGATGAATGTTACAGCTCCCACCAGTCCTTCCGTGCAGCAGAACATAATGAACTCGGCATCAGGTAAGCAAAATTTGTATTTATTAAAAAGATCACATAAATGAAAGATACCACTAGCTATTTTAATTGGGGAGGAGGGAGTCCAAATCTCACAATTGTTCTTCTAGTTATCCTGGTTTAAACTTTAAATTTGTTGATACCTGATGCATCAAGTGAGAGGCTGATACTTGAGGTAAGAGGATTTGTATAACATTTATGATGTCAACAGAAAGTATCCTGTAGTTCTTTAATTTATGGTTTTGGTTTTTTTCAAATGGATGATTCAAACATTTAAAGAAGCAGAATTCTTGTCGAATTTCTTCTGGCTGAAAATGCTGTTAAATTGATGAAGACCGGAATTTCTATTAAATTAGTGTTAATTTGTGTTAAGCTGTTGTGCTTCTGCAATGTTCTTCCGCCTCCTCTTGCTCATTTACTGGACTTGGTAAACTCCCATTAATTTACATTTCCTACATCTGTTATAAACATCTCGTTTTTTTGTCTTCCCTAAATGCATGAATTAAACACTTGGAAAATCTTGTTTAGAAGCAGAGACATTTTGGTTTTCCTCTTATTTTCCTATCATTTCCAAAATCCTTCATGATGATGAGTATTCCTCTGAGAAGGAAGCTGAGGAAGTCTGGTATCTTTTCCTGGAATATAGAATTGTTTTTCAGCTGGTCTCGGGGAGGGCTGTCACTACACAGCAGTAAAGTGTTCTTGTTCTTGCTGTAGAATGTGCTGTATATTTGCAGAGCTCTCTTGTCCTGATGGTGTAAAGAGCGAGCAGATATATTTGGTTCCATACTCATGTCACTGCTGTGCTTCTCCCTGTGCTTTGTCACCTTCTGTCTGTTGCCAAGGTTCATGTTTTATTTCTTTTCTCGCAATCTGATTGTACTTTGTGTATGTCTGCTGTTCCTGTATTTCACAAAGGTTATTCTCTGGTGCTACTTTTTGTTGTCCATTTAGAGGCTTTTTTTCATGCTGCAATTCATATGTTGCAGACAATACCAAAAGATTAACAAGCGTGACCAAACTGCGCTGTTCATGGCTGAGTATTAGAGGGGAAGCTCATCAAACTTTTTGCTGGCTAGACCAGGAGGTTGGATTATCTGAAACAAATGAGAGTCCTGTTCAAGTTCAGGAAATCATGATTCAGAGCAATTAAGGTCTCAGACTCTGATGTGAAAATACAATATCTGTGCTTATTTTTTCTGTAAATATATCCCAGGAAACCTGCATCAGTAAAGATGACAGATTTTTGCAGGGACACTTCTGAAGAACAGGGAATAGGAAAAAGGAAACAATTCCTTTGGTCTGTCTTGCCTTTTGGCTTATCTTATTTGTGCTGAAAATAGATACTTGCTGTTTGAATATTGACATAAATTCTGTTTTTTAAGATAACTCCTCAAACCTTCCACTGTACCAAGAATTAGCAGGAAAAAATATTGATAATGAAGTAGAATTCACATTACGTACTCAGAAAGAAATTAAGATTCCTTAGCAAAGAAAATAAACTGGTTAGTTGTAAGGCTTAAAAATGTAAAAGATAATCTGGTAAACAGTACATGAAGATTATTTTAAGAAGAAAATTAAGAATTTACATGTAATTGACCAGACAAGTGGTATAAGAAAGTGATCCTGCATAGATCTTGTTACTCATGCAATAAAATGAGTTGAGATGTTTAAGTGGGTTGTCTTGGGGCTTGAGAAAGCACTTACTTGAATACAAGTTCATTGAACATGTATTTTTAATTTCACAGATGATACTGCACTGAAAATCTTGTAAAATTTTTCCCCAGTGTTCTGAATTTGTTGAAGTGCATGAAGAAATCAGAACTTCTATGTATATTGAGTTACGTGTTTGTGGTATTGCTTTTGTTTAAGCTTAAATCAGTTGAGGTACTGTGACTTGAAACAGGCTCTTTGGATGCACCTGCTTACTCTTAACTTACTTGTGTTTAGCAAAAGTCTGTTTTGAATTAAACAAAGTTGAACCTTCATTTATTGTATATGATTCTGTTTCTGGTACCTAATTTGGCAAATCTTTATGTACTAACTTTAAATTATGACTGTGTATTTGTTTTTACTAAAGTTTCTCGTTCTGTTACTTTTTACTACTGAGTTCATGGTCACTTACGCTTCCTTGGTGGCCTTGTAGAGAATGAGAGAAATGGAAAAAATCAAGTAACTGTGTTCCACTTCAGCAAAGGGGAACTTAAATCTGAGTGCTAACTTCATAAATAGAAGACTACTTAATGTTCTAATTTGGATATTTGTCCTCAAGAACTGGGAAAGAGAGTTGAGACCTTTCATTCAGAAGTTTCCTGTTATGAACCATTGCTGGCAATGCAATATGCCCTAGTGCTTTGAGAGCCTTTCATGAAAGGTATTGGGGAGAAACCAAGTGTAAGTATTGTGACACCTGGAGATCACTGACTTGCGAAAAAATATCTGAAATGCCACAAGGGAGAATGTTTTCCTTCCTGTATGGTTCATCCTTGTATAGTGCTCATTAATTGTGGCCCTTAATCTGAAGTTACTGTCCAAGTCTTAGTATTTAATTACAGACTGCCATAGGAAATTGTAATTAAAGTTGCTGTGGTAAAACATGAGAGAATATTTTTAGGGGCTGTCCTGAAAGCCATGAGAAGCTTTAGCCAGGTCTGGCTATTAGAGAGAATTAAGAACAAGAAAACAAACTGAAGAGAGGGGGAGAGAGAGAGAGAGAACAGAACTCAGAAAGCTGCTGTCTGCATATTGACGATAAACCTTTTGTCTTTTCTGGATAAATGGGATAAGTGGAGCTCAGGGAAAATGGGAAGAACACAAAACTAGAAGGTGTGGTAAGGGTGAAGGCAAGTCAAAAGAGTGTTTAAAATAAAACCAGGGAAGATGTAGTTTAGCATGAGACTGAGATTTTAGGTTGTTTTTCTTAAGAATTCCCACCTCTTGAGGCACCCGAGACTGGATGAGAATCCAGGGATGTTGCTGCAAGTTGTGTTTCTTAAAGAAAATTAATAAGAAATTAATAGACATCTGAACCAACTTACTCTGTTCCTGGCATGATTTTGTGGATGAGCTATTTTATGAGTGTTAGTTAGCACACATCCCTTAGAGGAGGGCATCATTATATGAAAAGTGAGGATTTTCTTTTCATGCTTTTTTGTTGTTGTTGTTGTTAATTTTTTTGTCTCAGCCTTGTCAGCATTGCTGAACTTTGCTTGCTGTGTGTAATCAACTGATGGTTTGGGCAATATCTATGTAGAGCAACACAGTGCTCTTTTAGATGGCATTTGTTGGTTAATCTTCTGTGAAATAGGATTGCATCTTCACATCAATACTGGAAAGAAGACAAGCCTGTTACTTCTAAATATGCAACATGTATATAAAAATCAGTCTTGACTGTTCTGATTTTGTGTGTGTGTATTTCTAACCATTTTTTCCCTGAAAGCACTGCAGGAGAAACTGTGTTCTGTCTTGATTTAAAACAAAAAAGTAATGATAATGGTATGTTGTTCTTTTGAGGAACCTCTCCTATACATTTCTTACTGAGGTAAAGTTAAAAATTTGAAAGTAAGCAATGCCTGTTTCTTATGGAATTCCATTTGATAGTGATGAGATAATAATTGTATTTATATACTTCCATTGTTCAGATACTTTTACTTCCTGAATCACGCTTGACAGCGCTGCTTACTTTGACCTTTTCTGCTTGCGCATAGATATGAGATAATTACCTTTGGAGCAGATTACCTGTCTTTGTCCTCTTTTGTCTTCCCTCTTACATTGCAGTTTTGAGTTGGGCTTCCTGGTGAAAGTTTATAAATCTAGTGTAACTCCGTTGGCTCTTCTGGTGAGGCTGTAGTGCCACATTAAAGGTTGGGAGGAAAATGGACACTTGAATTCATAACTCTTGAGGTTTTTTTCTCCCTTGGGGGTGGGAGAGTAGGGAGGAATATGCCAATAACTAAAACAAGTTCTGCTCTTCTCTTAGATTCTTGCTCGCTTTAGTTGCAGATTTCCCTTCTTGTAACCAGTCATACTACAAATTCTGCTTTGTGTGCAGTCAACAGCACATATGACCTGTTGTGAAACTCTAGTCTCTAAGTGTCTGCATGACAGTAATGTTCATTTCTTTCTTCATCTGCAAAAAAATGCTGCTTTTTTAATAGTGGCTTTTTGTAAGTTTTACTGATTTGACAGAATAAAGGTGGACTTTAGGTAAATTTTGTAGACTCTGATATAATTTTAGAAAGTTTTGGAATCACAGTAACTGTGATGGAAGGGAAAAATTTCAGCTTTGCACAGAGAAAGATTAGGATGTTCTTAGAGATCAATGTTTGTATTAGGTGAAGGTGATTCCTGTTGTTGAACATAGGTGTTCCACTTCCTATATTATCCATGCATATTCTTTTAATATCTAGATACAGATGCCCTCTCATATGCATTAACCTTTTGATAAAATAAAGCTCTGTTTACATTCGTTTTACAGTTAAATATCAGAAACTATAGGGACTTGCAAGATTTACTTTGCATCCCAGCATAGCTTGAATCTCTACAAAACTACATTTTTGCTTTTGTTCCTTTTTCTATTTCTTTTTATCTGCCAGCAGCAAGCTCTGCTTTGCATTCAAGACATGGTGTTTCATGGCAAAAATGGTATACTGAGAAAGTAAAAACTCACAGCAAAGGGAGGCATGGACCAGAGACGTGCACACAGGCTTTTAAAATTACATGTATTTATGTTAAGTTACACCATTATGTAAATGTTTAGTTACAGAGGTATGCCTTATCGGTAGTTCTGTAAGGATGGCTTATGTTTGGAAATGGGAATCTAATTTTTGGATGACCTTGTCTTTTAAAGTACCACAGTAAATGGTGAGTTCCCTAAAAGGGTTGTCTCTCCCTGTGCAGGTAGTTTCATAGAATGGTAAGCTTATGGCTGTGATTGTCTTTGATTGACCTAGGGGGTATCAAACAGAATTAGTAGGAGATCGTGCCACAGGGATATTGTTGTTGCTAAATATTTACAAAGGTTCAAGGGAAGACTGGGAAAGTACTTGAAAGAGAGATCCTTTGGCACCTAGTAAATAGATAGAATCTGTCTCAAGAAATCACCTGAGGTACATGGAGTCCAAGGAGCCATTCATAGCCACTATACTTTTTGTGTTTATATGTGTGTTCAGTGCTTTATTTATAAGTTCATAGGGTGTGACAGTCACTAAGCAGGCTGCTTTCAGCAACAATATCTGTACATCACCCCAGGCTGGGTGCCTGGGCTAAATAGACTTTTGGTTGGACCCAGCATGTCTGGTTTTGTACAACCTGGGCTACAGTAACTGGAAATTTTGGTGAGGAGGTCTGAAGAGCAGCAGTATGGAGCTTCTATAACTTAAGTCACTTAAAAACTTATGCTAATGCTGGGAATTCTGTTCCTATTGAGCCTTTTGGGGGAAAAGGGACAGGAATTTTCCTAGATGCTGTGAGTGAATGTGTCTGCTATTCTTCACCATGGTTTTCCATTTTTCCTCCTTTACTTGCCTCTAATACAGAGTTTGTCAGGCAGCCAGTTACAAAATCAGACTTGACAGTCTTCTGGTTTCACAACTGCTCACAAAACCAAATAGGAATTACAGAAAGCAGTACTAATCAGTTTTTGAACTACCATTTCAACATGTAAAGATGACAGCGGTAACGCGAGAGCAGTTTACTGACCAAGGAAGAAAGCAACATCATGATTAATGCTAAAAGTTTCTAGACTGAAAAGTTCTGTTTCTGCAGCTGTTGATGGCACTTAGCAAGGAAGACTTGCTACTGTGACAGCCAGGTGAGCAGACAGACCTTTCCTGTCCTGTGCACAGCTGTGCATTTTATTCAGAAAGAGAACCTTGCCCAAGTTTGTCTGTAATAAGCTAGTGCTCATCAGATCACCGAATCTAATAAGCGGTATTCTTCTACCAGGTAGGTGGACTGATCAGCTCCTGGCATCCTGCTTCAAAGGCATTTTGTTCTTATTTACTACAAAGGAACATGCTGGACCAGTATCCGCTTTACTCAGTGTT